CTATCTGATGTTACCTGGTGTAATTATGAATTTTCATTATATTCCAGATGCAGAGGGGGGGAATGGGAAAAAAAAAGGGGGGAATGAATAATTGTCCAGCAGGGGGCTCCACTGACTACACTGAAGTTCCTCTGGGGTCTCTGGACATCTCTGCTGCAGACAGCCTCACTCTGTCCCCTCAGGCAGGTGTGTCAACAGCTAAATACTCTTCAGTAGGAGTGGTCAATTCGGCTGAAAATGTATATATACTTACGTGTACACTCTTAAAATAGATGGTTCTTCAAGGGTTCTTTAGTAAAGAAAATGGTTCTATATAGAACCATGAACACTCAAACAACCCTTTGCATGACTGCAGGGTTCTTTGCATCATGAAAGGGTTCTTCGGATTGATGGAAAATGTGCATGAATGTGCTGTAGATGCTTTTTGAAAATGTGTTAAGAAAACAATAGTTAGCTACATGCGAACTTAATATGTATGACACTTATGTTTACATTAAGTCAGTGAGGAACCCTCACAGCCTTCTAGACCTTTTATTTTTTTTTTTACATATCCATAGATTTTAACTAATTTTATTCAATAGAACCATCATGCTTGCTGTGTTTAAAGTCTGTAAATATTATAGTTGTACTCTTATTTTATTGTTTTAGTTTTAATCAAATGGGTTAAAAGTGCCAAACAGAAAATTATCCAATCGTGATTGTGTTCTCTGTGGTTTTGAAGTAGATACAGTGAGGCAAGGTCTCCCATTGGCTAAGACTTAAGGAGCTGAACTGAAGGCCTTGCATGTTAGATCAGGCATGTCAAACTGGAGACCTTCCAAGCCAAAGTGCTGCAGAGATCAGTGTTTAACCTCATCTGATGCTCTGAATTCAGTTCATGAAGGCCTTACTGATTAGCTGATGAGTCGAATAAATTGTGTTTAATGAGGCAGTGCGCTGAAATGAGTTTTGGCCCGTGAGGAATGGAGCCTGACACGTGTATTAGATTAACTACCAACATCTTCAGAAGTGACAGAGGAATCTAGTTCTAGATACATCACTGACTGTGAATACGAGCTGTAATCTAAGCAGGTTTTGGATAGTTGTTAGGAATGGAAAACAGCGGCGGCAGAACTCTTTCCTGAAACAGTCACTGTTACAATGATACATACAAGCTCAAATATATGATAATGTCTGTTACAAGCTTCAAATAAATAATATGGAATGTCTTTTACAAGCTTCAGATTTCAGGATTTAATCTAGATTTAATCTGGATTTAATCCAGCATTAGCAGGCAGTAATAATTGTTGAGGTGTTTTGTTTCTTGTTTTCAGTGAATTGTCACATTGATTTGATCTGAAGGCCTAACTTTAATGATCACAGTTCACGACTGTGTAAAATGTATATATTTCAAAATAATATAGAGGCTTGTGCTGTCATGAGTGAATAAAATTCTGCCTCCCTGAGTAAATCAAAAAACATCAAAAATAACTCAAACATTAATGAAATCTGAAAAATGTTTGTTGTTGATGATACAAACTGAGTTACAATTGGGTGACTACATTTGTTACAGATGTCACATTTTTCTCTCTCTCTCTCTCTCTCTCTCCATCTGTCTCTCTCTCTGTAGACGGCAGTGATAGAGAGATGGAGCGGATGGAGGAGTTGCCGCTGTGTAGCTGTAGGATGGAGGCTCCACGTGTGGAGCGACTCACCGCGCACACGCAGCGCACCTGCATGGCCATCGAGAGCATCAATGGACAGGTGTGACCACAGCACCTATGAGAAAGTGTAGGGGGCGATATGGCTTCTACTGTTTCATTTAAAAAGCCTCTATAATGTTCATATGATCCACACAGTCACTCTGACAGACTGTAATACACTACAGGAAGCGTAGGGGGCGATATGGCTTCTACTGTTTCATTTAAAAAGCCTCTATAATGTTCATATGATCCACACAGTCACTCTGACAGACTGTAATACACTACAGGAAGTGTAGGGGGCGATATGGCTTCTACTGTTTCATTTAAAAAGCTCTATAATGTTCATATGATCCACACAGTCATTCTGACAGACTGTAATACACTACAGGAGGTGTAGGGGGCGATATGGCTTCTACTGTTTCATTTAAAAAGCCTCTATAATGGTCATATGATCCACACAGTCATTCTGACAGACTGTAATACACTACAGGAAGTGTAGGGGGCGATATGGCTTCTACTGTTTCATTTAAAAAGCCTCTATAATGTTCATATGATCCACACAGTCATTCTGACAGACTGTAATACACTACAGGAAGTGTAGGGGGGGATATGACGGCAGCAGAGACATAAAAATCAAAAAGAATAGTCAGTTAATTGAATAATTGTGGATACATTAATAGGTTGTTGTAGTGATCATTGGTTGTGATGCTGTCATTATGTAAAGTGCATCTATTTATTTTATTAAATTCACCCTCGTTTTCCTCTCTCCCTCCGTCTCTCTCAGCTGGTGGGCTGTACCAATAAGATCATGAAGGGGGAGACGATGCGTCCGTCCAGCCGTGTGTCTCTGATGGTTCTGTGTGAAACTCATCGCTCACACATGGTCAAACACCACTGCTGCCCGGGCTGCGGATACTTCTGCCTGTCTGTACGTTTATAAAATAACATTCATTTTTGGAGTGTTGCTATTATTATTATTATTATCATTATTATTATCATTATTATTATTATTATTATTATTGTTGTTGTTATTATTATGAATTGTACATGAATATGAGTAGTATATTAATTTTCAGGGGACATTTCTGGAGTGTTGTTAATGTTATTGCTATTATTTATTATTATTGTTGTATATGTATGCATATGCGTTTTGTATTCATTTTCAGGGGACGTTTTTGGAGTGCTGTCCGGACATTCGTATTGCTCACCGGTTCCACCGCGGCTGTGTGTCGGTGTTGGGCAGTGGGCGGAGCCGTTGTGGAGCAGGCGGCGGCCTGCTCTTCTGCCCGCACTGCGGAGAGGACGCCTCTGAGGCCCAGGAGGTCACCATCCCGCCGGCAACACCGTCACCAGGGACAACTGTAGTCACAGCAACCGCCTCCTCAACAACAACCACACCCTCGCTCCTCCCATCCACGCTCACCGTGGCAACCACAGCGCTTAGCAATGAGAAGAGGACTGGCGAGCCAATCAGGTGAGAGAAGAGTGCTGCAGTTCTGTTGCTGAAAGGACACTCTTATTGAGAATATTAATAACAACACTAATTATATTCTTTCAGTATCTTCCAGTCAGTGGTGGACGAAGTACACAAATCATGTACTTGAGTTAAAGTAGAGATACCCAAGGTAAAATATTACTCCAGTAAAAGTAGAAGTTACTTCCTTACTCCCTCCCAAAACACTGAAGGCAAACAGTTTCCCTTAGGTAGAACTGAGTGGCTCTGAAATAACCTTTTGTGAACAAACAAAGTTTCAGTTTAAGATTTATTTGAACTTAGTTACAAATTTAAGTTTAATAAAAACTTTAAACTCAGATTCACAAATGAGTTTCCTTTACTAAACTGCATCTGTAGGTCTCTGTTCATAAACATAAACTAGACAAAACAAATTTACTATAAAATGAAATGTGTTTGTATAAATTCAGAATAAAGACACGTCAGTCTCAACTGCATATGAGTACATATTTCTATATTGTGGTCTGTTTACACAAAGTTAGGTTAGTTCATCATTTATGTTGAATAGACACTCCCAAAATTTTACACTGCTGCACTGATGTTGAACCGTGTGCTGCACTGGGTCGGTATGTCCAACAGGTCAAAACAAGCTCAAAACAAAGTGACCGCTGTGCCCTGATTGGTGTTCTTGCTTTGTGCTTCTTTCGTTTTGACATGTTACGTTTTTATACACACATAAACCAAAAGGAAGGACAGATTTCTCATAATGTAGTGGAGTAAAAAGTGAGATATCTGACTGTGAAATGTGGTGGAGTGAAAGGAAAAAGTCGCCCAAAATGGAAAAACTTCAGTACAGATACAGGGAAAAAATACTTAAGTACAGAAACAAATTACATTTACTTCATTACTGTCCACCACTGCTTCCAGTATTTTTAATTTTGAGTATATTCTGTCCCTTATGCTAATGTGTTGCCTGTTGTTTCATTTCTTATATTTTGTAAATCAGTGCGAGGATGCATTGGCGTGGTGAGGCAAGAAAGGGGGCGGAGCCTCAGTTACAGACTCCCAGTGCTGCGACTGGAGGAGGCGTGGTAGAGGATGTGGTTGCCCAGGGTGATGGGGGCGTGGACAGTGTTGGCCCCTCCCTCGTACTGCCCAATGGGAAGCCGGTCTGCCCCAGTGCACTTCCTCCGGGAGACAGGAGGGCGGCGCTACAGAGAGCGATTCTTACCCAGGATACTGAGAGGTAACACGAACGTGTATATGCTAAGCAGTTAACTGTAAATGTAATTGATATGTAGCTACATCATAAATTATATTAAATTACATAGTTAAATAATTGTCATTTAAATAGCATCTGTAACAGAATTATTATGCATATCTGGACAGGGTTAAGATAGACAGTGCATACTGTGTTCTGATTGGTTGACTGGGTTCTATGACATTCTCAAAAAAAATTCTGCTCCCTCTTTCTGTGTTCTGATTGGTCAGGAAGAAGAAGCTGAGGTTCCACCCGCGCCAGCTTTACCCAGCAGCCAAGCAGGGGGAGGTCCAGAAAGTTCTGCTTATGCTCAGTACGTTCACACAGCCTCCACCAATCAGCACTGTCCTTGTGAGCTCACTGAGTTTGAGCTCTGTAACTGACAAACCACATTATTATCAATTATTTATTAGTAATTCTGTCGTGTCCCTTTGAATATTTTTGGTGACAATAAGAACGTTAATATTGTCATTTCCTTTGAATATTGTGAATGTTGTTAAGAATATTAGCAACTTTTTTCTTCTCAGAACTTTGTTTTTTTTTTTATCTAGAATATATATTTACTTTTAATGTTACTAATATTTTTATGTTTTATGAAGATTGTTAATTTTTTTAGAATTCTTAATATAATCTATTTTACTAAATTAGCAACATGATACCAATTGATAAAAATTTTGCACCGTCAACTCAGGCTACCAAGTCAATGAATCTTGAAAAAATTAAAAATCAAGAATTTATGGCCACAATAATAGAAACATGTTTATCATATATACATTGTGCTTATAATTAACAAGTGTGCTTCAGTACCAAACACTAGTCATGTGTTGCTTTGACAAAGGGAATATTTATTAAAAACTGTACATTGATGAGAACACACACATTCACACATTAGCATAGCAAGTTGCATTTGTTTGTCATGAACCCACACCAGCAGGAGCTCATAAGCACACATGATTGTTCCCATCTCCAAGGCAAGTCTCCATTCGAGCCACAGGCTCTGCGTTTTTAGAGAACACCACTGTGAACTGTCGTGATCAGGGACACCAGGCAGTAGGCGATTTCAGCCCCTACATATAGTGTTTTAATTATTCATACAATACATAATACATGTCTTTCTCTCTCTTAGTGGAAGGTATAGATCCAGCATATCAGCCTGATTCTCAGAATCGTCGTTCTGCTCTTCACGCTGCAGCTCAGCGTGGCCTGCTGGACGTCTGCTACCTGCTCATACAGGTACACTGTTACTTATAATTTGTAAATAATATGAGTCCAAATTGTGGTGTAATTTCAGATTATGAATTCAGATGTTTGCACCCCATAGCGCCTTTATTTTTTTATTTATTTATTTATTTATTTACTGTGGATATATGTAATAGTGGTGTGCGAACATTGATTGCTGAATTTTGTTCTTGTTATATGCTTGCATACGAGTCGAATGTCAGTAAAGTTGAGTTGAGATACGACCCAGGAGCTTTCTAGGAATTTACAACCAACACACTACACATTAGCTACTCTTCGAGTTTACTAACAGTCTTATACATGTATTAAAATCCCAACAACAGTGCTAATCTGAGTTTAGACTGTTTTTTAATCTGAAGTTTAAATATGAAGCTTCTTTCTCATCATCAGAACAGAACCGAGCAGTTTGTTGTTGTCTGTATTTGTTTTGTTGTGTTTAGGCGGGCGCTAAGGTGGACGCTCAGGATAAAAGTCTGAGGACTCCTCTGCTGGAGGCGATCATGAACAACCAGGTGGAGGTGGCCCGATTCCTCATGCAGAGCGGAGCGTGTGTTTACCACGTAGTGAGTATTAACATACTAATGCGCACAGCCAGTGAACCAGACAGCATTAGAGGCGTCTTCTTTTCTCGCATTTTGGTAGAAGTTAGCTGATGCTAGTATCTGAACAGCCAAACAAATACAGACCCTCCCTTCAGTGTTCACTCTAAAGCTCCGCCCTCTGAATACAGACCCTCCCTTCAGTGTTCCCTCCAAAGCCTCCCTTCAGTGTTCCCTCCAAAGCCCCGCCCCCAAACAAGTACAGTTCCTCCCTTCAGTGTTCCCTCCAAAGCCCCGCCCCCAAACAAATACAGTCCCTCCCTTCAGTGTTCCCTCCAAAGCCTCCCTTCAGTGTTCCCTCCAAAGCCCCGCCCCCAAACAAATACAGTTCCTCCCTTCAGTGTTCCCTCCAAAGCCCGCCCCCAAACAAATACAGTCCCTCCCTTCAGTGTTCCCTCCAAAGCCTCCCTTCAGTGTTCCCTCCAAAGCCCCGCCCCCAAACAAATACAGTTCCTCCCTTCAGTGTTCCCTCCAAAGCCCCGCCCCCAAACAAATACAATTCCTCCCTTCACTGTTCTCTCTGAAGCCTCCCTTCAGTGTTCTCTCTGAAGCCTCCCTTCAGTGTTCCCTCCAAAGGCTCCCTTCAGTGTTCCCACGAAAGCCCTGCCCCCAAACAAATACAGTTCCTCCCTTCAGTGTTCCCACGAAAGCCCTGCCCCCAAACAAATACAGTTCCTCCCTTCAGTGTTCCCACGAAAGCCCTGCCCCCAAACAAATACAGTTCCTCCCTTCAGTGTTCCCACGAAAGCCCTGCCCCCAAACAAATACAGTTCCTCCCTTCAGTGTTCCCTCCAAAGCCTCCCTTCAGTGTTCCCTCCAAAGCCCCGCCCCCAAACAAATACAGTTCCTCCCTTCAGTGTTCCCTCCAAAGCCCCGCCCCCAAACAAATACAGTTCCTCCCTTCAGTCTTCCCTCCAAGGCCCCGCCCCCAAACAAATACAGCCCCTCCCTTCAGTCTTCCCTCCAAAGCCCCGCCCCCAAACAAATACAGCCCCTCCCTTCAGTCTTCCCTCCAAAGCCCCGCCCCCAAATAAAGTTCAATATTCCCTTCAATATTTATTAATATTGATCATTATTGTCGCTACATAATTCTTTTCCCTGTCTCCCTCCCTCCCTCTCTCTCTCTCTCTCTCTCTCTCTCTCTCTCTCTCTCTCTCTCTCTTTGTTTGTCTGTCTGTTTCTTTCTTTTTTTGTCTGTCTGTCTGTCTCTCTCTCTCGCTCTCTCTCTCTCTCTTTCTCTTTGTTTGTCTGTCTGTTTCTTTCTTTTTTTGTCTGTCTGTCTGTCTCTCTCTCTCTCTCTCTCTCTCTCTCTCTCTCTCTCTCAGGAGGAAGATGGCTCCACTGGTCTTCATCACGCTGCTAAACTGGGGAATCTGGAGATCGTCACGCTTTTACTCAACACTGGTCAGGTGGACATAAATGCTCAGGTAAAGCCTGGATTGTGATTGTTTGTTTTGAGAACTGATGGTTTCACAGTTCATTCAGTTTAATCCAGATATTTATTGACAAAGATACGGAAGATTAATCTTTTAAAGAAACCATATAATAATTAATATAATGTCATATAATAATAATAATAGTAATAATGGTAATAATGCTAATAAAAGTGATGTACTTTGTTGCTCTCTCTCTCTGTAGGACAGTGGTGGATGGACTCCAATAATCTGGGCTGCTGAACACAGACACACTGACATAATCAGAGCTCTGCTGAATCGGGGGGCCGACGTCACACTCAAAGACAAGGTCAAACACACAACCCCCTCTTATTTGGCAAAATTAGCCAAACAGTGTTTTATCTGTCATTACATTTTCAGTAAAGCCTTAGTGAGGCCTGAAACATATTATTCGCAAGGATGCGAACGCAAACACTTGGAGCTACATAGACATTGTTTCGCGCGTAGTTGCATTCTGCATTCTGCATTCTGCATTCTGCATTCTGCATTCTGCGTTCTGCATTCTGAGCGTTACAGCAGGTGGCGCCATAACAACAGCCAAGCCCGACCGAGCGGTCTTATGCCACCAGAGTATTTTCTCAACTGCCATAGCAGACAAGCAGTTGAGTCTCACGCGAAGACGGCTTACATAAACTTTAAACATCATACATTATCACCTTTCCATTTCAGAGAAGAGGTAAAGCAGCTCACTCTCCTCTACTGTTGGAATAACAGTAGATCCCTCTCTGATTTGTCCTCTATCGCCCCCTTCAGTACTGAGTATTTTAACTGCCACAGCAACGTAAGAACGTACAGTGAGTTTGTACAGAAGGACTGAAAGTCTGCAGCGCGTTCACGTCCTTGCGTAAAGTATGTTTCAGGATACAGAAACACCTGTGGATGTTTTCAGATCTGAAGCAGCTTGATTTTCTCCTCTCTCTCAGAGATAAAAGCTTTAAGTGCTGTTTATCTGATGGGGGCAGTTTTGGTGTCTTTCTCCTTCCTTATGCAAGTGGACTATCTTGACCTCCACAGAAATATCTCCTGAATGAATGAATGAATAACTTGGCCAATTTGATGGGAAATACTTTTTCAGAACTATTTCAGGAACGACATACTTCTAATAATATGAAATCTGTGGATCTGCAACTGGATTGTTTTTATATGACTAAGAAGTGATGCCTTACTTTTGAATGGTAATGTAAATACATTGTTGCAATAATAATAATGATAATAATTATTATTATTATAATAATAATTATTATTATTATTAAATACAGGGTGATTCAAAAAGAGTCATCAGATTTCAAAGCGCCATATTTTTTACAACCGTGAGCCGCCTAGGAACCAATCACAGTCCAATTGAAAGAGGGGGTCATAGAGTTTCTGACAGTCAGTATGGCAGTGAACCTCCAACAGCTCAGAGTGTACGTCATTGATACCAACAGTTCCAAGAAAAAGGTCAGCAGCATCACCAGATCTCACGCCGTGTGACTTTTTTGTGGGGGCACTTTAAGGATTCTGTTTATGTGCCACTCCCAGCAAAACTGGATGATCTCCGAAATCGCACTGAAAGAGCCGTGAGTGCAGCGACACCCGACATGCTCAATCCAGTATGGGATGAATTTGACTATGGTGTTGATGTTGTCTGTACAGCTGGAGGAGGTTCATACTGAGACCTTATACAATTACATAATAAACTTTATGCTCATTTAAGCCATTTACAGTTCACTGCATTGATCTGTAATGATTTACAGGTGAAATCAATCATTTTGAAATTGGATGAATCTTTATGAATCACCCTGTATTTTGTTGCTGCCAGGACAAAATCATATCTCCATTTTGTTTTTCATTGAAATCAGATGAGATGAGCTTCAAAATTACTTGGAGTGAATAAATACTCCTTTAACTTCAGTTAAAGATTGATAATGTTTTTTTCTTCATAGTTTTGAAGATAGATGGTTTTGTTCTGTCAATCACTCTATGCTGATTAATTTCAGAAGCTCCAAAAGCAACATGTCAACACAAAAAAGAGTAATTGACATCAGCAGCATTGGTTTAATGGATTATACGTCACTAATTAGACCCGAAAAATGTAATTATCTCTGTCTGTGTGTTGTAGGAGATGAATGTGTGTTTGCACTGGGCGTCGTTTGCGGGCAGTGCAGAGATCGCCGAGCTGGTTCTGAATGCGGGCTGTCCGCTCTCGAGCGTAAACCTGCACGGAGACACGCCGCTGCACATCGCTGCCCGAGAAGGATACAACGACTGCGTCACGTCAGTACAGCTCGCCTGTTTACAAACATGGGAAAGAAATGATGGCTCTTCAGTGCGAATAGTAACATTCACCTAAAAGAGTCGACACATGCCATTGTCCAAAATGACTTGGATTGAAATCTCGTTACATTAACTGTAAATTAACGTCCCCCTGTACATGTGTTACCATCGTGGCGCTGTTTGTGTGTCGTTGCAGGTTGTTCTTGTCTCGCGGAGCAGACATTGACGTGATGAACAGGGAAGGAGACACGCCCCTTTCCTTGGCGCGCCCTGATTCGCCAGTTTGGGTGGCGCTGCAGATAAACCGAAAGCTGCGCAGAGGAATAGCCAATCGGATCGTCCGAACAGAGAGGATCATCTGCAGGTGACGTTCCAAACCTCTCGGTAGATTCATTCCAGCCCAGGATTGCTAGGTGCATGATTTTCCCACCAAATTGAGCCACTTCGAAAATGCAGTCGTGATTGAAAGTGATACGTTCTCAGGTTGTGTAGAGAGTAACAATGAATATAGTAATTTAAATACTGTAGCATTTGATCATCATGTTGGTATTAATTTCCTTATTTAGTGTTCAGAAGCTTCGTTGTTGGTAACCTTCAGAATTATAGCACAATTTTCAGAGATAGAGGCTGATTATGCACATATTACCAAATAGTTGTCACTTATTTATCACATTTTGTCATAAAACCATGAAAAAAAAATGCTGCAACTTAACACAAGACGTGATATTAGGCTACAAATCTGGTCATATCCAGGTAATGCTAGGACACACTCCTCCCTGCTATTTCACACTGTCCTCACTTTTCTTCAAAAGAATTTAAGTGACATAAGTTAATGAAAATCAGTTTAGCTGATTCCTGTAAGATGTGAACGGCTGAAAATCTTTGCGAATTTAGTATAAAATATTGATATAGCTCACAAAGTCGTCGTGAAAATGAATTTAGTAATTTGTATACTGGATACTATATACTGTATTCATTTCCTTATTTAGTATTCTGAAGCTTTGTCTTTGGTAACGTTTCAGACCTCCACAGAGTTCAGAGATAGAGGCTGATTCATGCACTTTTTACCACACATTTGTAACTTATTTATCACATTTTGTCATAAAACCATGACAAATATGCAATTACTTAACATAAGATGTGATATTAGGCTAGAAAAACACTCACTGATTCTGCTGTAGCTTTAAATGCTGAAGGACATTCAGGTGAAGAAGCTGAGGGTCCTCAGTTGCTCGTTTAGCTGCTGCGAGCTGTAAGACAGTTTAGCTGATTCCTGTAAGATCTGAACGGCTGTAAATCTTCACAAACTTAGTATAAAACATTGATGTAACTCGCTGAGTCGTCATTCCTGATATTTATGTTCATTTATCAAAGGTATTTCAGTCTTGATGGAATTGAATGTGGAGCTCCAAGTTAGCAGTGGAGTATAAACTTGGTTCATAGGCTACACTGACTATAAAACACACTGCTAAACAGAGATTTCAAAAGGTTTACATCTTGAACTTTAACTGTATCATCACTGCTCTCTGGGTAAAGAAAAATCCAGCAACGTTAACTTCAGTGACCAGAACTTTGACCATTTGTCTGACAAACTAAATCTTAACCAGAAACCATGACTGGCATTAAAATTTCCAGTTTCTTTTGTGATTCAAATTTTGGAGTTTAATGTATGTGTTTTGTTTTTTAAGCGCAGTTATGACTTATGTCCAGGTTAGCCATGGTTCTCTGTGTGACTGTGTCCGGTTCTGTGTTTTAGTGATATAGCTCAGGGCTATGAGAACATTCCCATCCCCTGTGTGAACGGAGTGGACGATGAAGGCTGTCCGTCTGATTATAAATACATCGCCGAGAACTGCGAAACATCTGCCATGAACATCGACCGCAACATCACCCACCTACAGGTACACAGACACACCTGCAGACACCGCAGCATCACTCACCTACAGGTACACGGACACACCTGACAGCACCGCAGCATCACTCACCTACAGGTACACGGACACACCTGACAGCACCGCAGCATCACCCACCTACAGGTACACAGACACATCTGCAGACACCGCAACACACCCACCTACAGGTACACAGACATACCTGACAGCACCGCAGCATCACTCACCTACAGATGCACAGACACACCTGACAGCACCGCAGCATCACCCACCTACAGGTACACAGACACACCTGACAGCACCACAGCATCACCCACCTACAGGTACACAGACACTCCTGACAGCACCGCAGCATCACTCACCTACAGGTACACAGACACACCTGACAGCACCACAGCATCACCCACCTACAGGTACACAGACACACCTGACAGCACCGCAGCATCACCCACCTACAGGTACACAGACACACCTGACAGCACCACAGCATCACTCACCTACAGATGCACAGACACACCTACAGGCACCGCAACACACCCACCTACAGGTACACCTGTTCCACTTCCCCTGTTCCAGTTCTCCTGTTTCAGTTGGTCTAGTTCACCTGATCTAGTTCTCCTGTTCTAGCACACCTGTTCAAGTCCACCTCTTCTGGTTCACCTTAACTTGTTTACATGTTACAGTTTTGTAGTAACACAGCTACAGATGTAGCTCTTCTAGTTTAGTTCACCTGGTCCAGTTCTCCTGGTCTGGTTCTCTTGATGTAGTTCTCCTGTTGTAGCTCTTCTAGTCTGGTTCTCCTGTTCTAGTTCTCCTGGTCTAGTTCTCCTGATGTAGCTCTCATGTTGTAGTTCACCTGTTTTTGTTCTCCTGTTGTAGCTTATAGTTCTCCTGGTCTAGTTCTCCAGGTCTGGTTCTCCTGGTCTGGTTCTTCTGATGTATTTATCCTGGTCTGGTGCTCCTAATGTGGTTTTCCTGCTCTGGTTCTCCTAACGTAGTTCTCCTGATGTAGCTCTCCTAGTCTGGTTCTCCTGATGTAGCTCTCCCGTTGTAGTTCACCTGTTTTTTCTCCTGTACTTCTTTTTCACCTGTATTATTTGTTAGATGACTGAGTTCTGGGTGAGATGTTGTCTGTAACTGTCCTGGTGTCACACAGCAATACTGACACTATTGATTGGTATTAATACATAAGAGAAACTTAATTAAACTTACTGAATGTAATTTGTTCGGGTGCTTCAGATCGTTTTGAAAGAGCAGTTCAGTATAAACAGTAGGTTTTCCTTTTGGTGTAATTCTAAGAGAGTGAACTGATACTGTGATGTATTTGGACAGTAATGTGATATTGAATTTTATGTATCTCTCAGCTTTAGATGATCTAGGACTAGTTTAGTAAATCTCCAGGAGTAAGACTGAGCGTCCCAGCTTTAACGCCATTCTGAATGTGTGACACTGTGATAATGTTTGTGTTTGCTGTAGCACTGTAGCTGCACTGATGACTGCTCCTCCAGTAACTGCCTTTGTGGACAGCTCAGCATCCGCTGCTGGTACGACAAGGTAAAACATGACTTAACACGGAAGCGCATTAGAGCTGTAAACAACAATCGCAAGGCTGTGTAATAGCAAAATATTTATCCTCAGGATGACACCATCCGCTAGCTATGCTAACTGAAAATACCTAACTCCAGCTAACTCTGATAACTGGACATAGATCACACTGGCTCACTCTGCTAACTGAGTTAAATAACAATTGCTAAATGTTCTAGTAGTATTGAGTGAATAGCCAGTACTTGAGGAATATTTTACCAAAAGTATCTACTTTCACCACCACAGCATATAAAAGACAAAAGTCTCACAGCACCACCTGGTGTACAGGGGACACAGCTGTTCAAGAGTTCAAGCCTTCACTGCCAATAATTATCATTTTCTTTATGTAATGTGACGTGTTCATTGATGAAAGACGGTGTTGATTGTAACTGTGTGTGTGTCTGCAGGACCAGCGCCTCCTACAGGAGTTCAATAAGATCGAGCCTCCGCTGATCTTTGAGTGTAACCTGGCGTGTTCCTGTTATAAATCCTGTAAGAACAGGGTGGTGCAGGCTGGAATAAAGTGAGTTTAATCACTGTTTACTCATCTGTCTGTTTCCCCTCATCAGCTTTGTTTTATCCCAGGTACTGATCTCATTAGTACAGTTACCTAACACCTGGTCTGTTTGTGTTAGGGTGCGTTTACAGCTCTATCGTACTGAGAAGATGGGCTGGGGGGTCAGAGCGCTACAGGACATTCCACAGGGCAGCTTCATCTGCGAGTGAGTGAATCTGTCCATCTCTCTCTCTCACTGATGTTCTCCTGGCCTAATTCACCTGGCCTAGTTCACCTGAAATAGTTCTCCTGGCTTAGTTTACCTGGTCTGGTACTCCTGGCCTAGTTCACTTTTTTGTTCTAATTTCTTTTTTTTTACAGGTATGTTGGAGAGCTGATCTCTGATGCAGAAGCTGATGTGAGAGAAGACGATTCATATCTGTTCGATCTGGACAACAAGGTAACACCTGATTAACCGAGCAAATGAAACACGCACACCTGTTTAACCGAGCGGATTAAACCTCCATACCTTTTAATGGAGCGGATTAAACCTCCACACCCGTTTAACCGAGCAAATGAAACCTCTACACCTGTTTAATAGTGCGGATAAAATTTCTACACCTGTTTAGTAGAGCAGATTAAACCTGCCCGCCTGTCTAATAAAGCAGATTAAACCTGCTCACCTGTTTAAAAGAGCGGATTAAACCTCCACACCTCGTTCATAGAGCAGATTAAACCTCCACGCTTAGTTCACAGAGTGGATTAAACCTGCTCACCTGTTTAATAGAGCGGATTAAATTTCTACACCTAGTTCATAGAGCAGATTAAGCCTCCACACCTGTTTAATACAGCGAATTAAGCATCCACACCTGTTTAATAGAGCATATTAAACCTGTTTGCCTGTTTAATAGAGCATATGAAACCTGCGCAGATTAAAGCTGCACACATGTTTAATAGAGCAGATTAAAGATGCACACCTGTTTAATAGAGCGGATTAAACCTGCACGGATTAAAGCTGCTCACGTTTACTAGAGCGGATTGAACCTGCACACCTGTTTAATAGAGCGGATTAAACCTGCCCACCTGTTTAATAGAGCAGATTAAACTTGCCCACCTGTTTAATGGAGCGGATTAAACCTGCCCACCTGTTTAATAGAGTAAATTAACAGACTTAATTTTTTCTATTTTTCTGTCTTCCTCTGCAGGATGGTGAGGTGTACTGCATCGACGCCCGTTACTATGGTAACATAAGTCGTTTCATTAATCATTTGTGTGACCCGAACATCATCCCTGTGCGAGTGTTCATGCTGCATCAGGACCTGCGCTTCCCCCGCATCGCCTTCTTCAGCTCCAGAGACATCCTAACAGGACAGGAGCTCGGGTAATGGGATTCCCCTATAGTAGTGGTAAACTGTATGGCCAAAAGTATGTGGACTCTTAACTTCCACGCTTATATGAGCTTTCTGGACGTTCCATTCCAAAACAATGGGCATTATTATGGAGTTGGTCCCCCTTTGCAGCTATAACAGCTTCCACTCTTCTGGGAAGCTTCTACAAGATATTGGAGTGTGTGTGTGTGGGAATTTGTGCACATTTCAATCAGAAGAGCATTTGTGAGGTCAGACACTGATGTTGGACAAGAGGCCTGGTTCACAAGCGATGTTCCAGTTCATCCCAAAGGTGTTCAGTGGGGTTGAGGTCAGGGCTCTGTGCAGGCCACTGGAGTTCCTCCACACCAAACTGGTCAAACCCTGTCTATATAGACCTCCCTTTGTGCACAGCAGCTCAGTCATGCTGGAACAGGAAAGGGTCTTCCTCAAACTGCTGACACAAAGCTGGAAGCAGATAACTGTGTAAAATCACCCTTCACTGGAACTGAGGGGCCCAAACCCTGAAAAACAGCCCCAGCCCATCATCCCTCCTCCACCAAACTTTACTGTTGGCACTATGTATTCCAGTAGGTAACGTTCTCCTGGCATCCACCAAACCCAGACTCATCATCAGACTGACAGATAGAGAAGCTGATTCATCACTCCAGAAAACACGTTTCCACTGCTGCAGAGTCCAGTGGTGGCGCTTTACACCACTCCAACCGACACGTGGCCTTGCACATAGTGATCTTAAGCTTGTGTGCAGCTGCTCAGCCCTGAAAACCCATTTCTTGAAGCTGCTCAGATCTTGTGCCGATTTTGCTTCAAGAGGCAGTTTGGTACTCTGTAGTGAGTGACATAGGCAATAGGTGGTCTTGCTCATTGAGTTTCATGGCTAAGATGTTTCGCATCCATTTCACATTCATAACACTTACAGTTGTCCAGGGCAGCTCTAGAAGGGCAGAAATTTAATGAACTTGTGGAATGTGGTGTCCACATACTTTTAAATTAAAATGGATAAATGAAGGGTTTTGCACTGTACTGTGACTTTAACAGCTTCTGTATTGAGGGTCTCACTGCTGCTCTTCTTCTCTTTGTCTCTGTTTATCAGGTTTGATTATGGAGATCGATTCTGGGACATTAAGAGTAAATACTTCACGTGTCAGTGCGGCTCGGAGAAATGTAAACATTCAGCTGAAGCCATCGCGCTGGAGCAGAGCCGGCTGGCCCGCATGGAGACGTGTCCAGAGTCGGGGAGTGAACCTGCGCTAAGCATTGTGGGAAATTCCTAAACCCTGAGCGAGTCTGGAACCTGCTGAACCCGACTGCAGACCTTCAGAGTCGACTCGACCTGAGCAGAGCCCTTCTACAGCTGAACATGACCAGTTCAAACAGTTAAAGAGACAGTTTGGCCAGAATTGAACTGACCCAGTTTTCCCATTTAGTGTAGCTGATCAGCCGAGTCGTATTTGGTGTCGGAAGTTTACTTCTTTAGTTTTCGTCTTTAGGCTGATGTAACCTTAGACACCACTAATTAGCACAGTGCTAACTACAGGCCTAAAGCCTCAAACCATGTGGAGTTGTTTAGTAATCTCTGAAAATGAATCCTTTATTTTTATTTTATTTTATTTTAAGGTCCACATTTGTGTGGCTTTATGTACCAAAAACAGTCAGAATTAGTTTTTACGGACCATTTTCCAGCCTCTTTATGTTTTGGAATTAAACAGGCTGTTTTTGTTACTGTGCCTTTAAGACTGATATATGTAAATGGACTCCTTTCTGATTGGCTGTGCCTCATTCAAAAAAGCAGTCCAGGCTAAAACACTTATAACTTCAATGGCAGCAGGTGGAGCAAGTTTTGCAGGCTGAATAGGAGGCTATGTAAATGAGTTGTGTTTTTTGTGACATCACAAAAACAGTGAATTGAAAATAAGCTGTTACCGTGCCTTTAAGACTGATATATGTAAATGAGCTCTGATCTGATTGGCTGTGCCATGTTTAAAAAGCAGTCTGAGCTGAAACACTCCTTGTAACCTCAGCGTGAGTGGGTGCAGCCAAACTGCGGTAGGCGGAATGGGCAAATATATGTAAATGTTTTGGGGTTTTTGTGACGTCACAAAAGCAGTGAAACCCTTAACAAGCATGCAGTTAGCTTCATGCTAATTGGTGGGGTATAAGCTGGAATACTTGTTAGCTACATTAGCCTCTTAGCTCCAGCGTTAAACTACCGAAGAACTTTAGACACAATACAGGACTCGGCTGATCGACTACATTTGCAGTGAGAGAGGGTAAAATTGGGGGAGCCTGATTTCTGACTGAACTATCGCTTTAATAGTGTTGGATTGAACTGTAGAGGCTTTTAAAAGAGCTAATCAGACACAAGCAGAAGCTGTCTGAGTGAAAAATGACTGAAGTAAGGCTTTAACATGTTGGAGTTTGGAGTGGTCAGATTTGTCTGACCTTTCTGACCAGACTCAGTGGCCAACACTGTGAATGAAAAGGTGCTTTTTATTTTTCTCATGTGGGTCAACAGTTGTTATTTAGTCAGTTCTGGTCAACGTTTAAAATGGAATTCCACTGATTTTCCAACATTTCTGTGCTAAAAAGAAGCACAAAAGATGTGAAAAATGTACATGTACTTTCTTCTACACCTCTGGAGGAATTACAGTCCAGCACATTAAATCTCACCATACCAGACTGTCCACTATTGTATTTCACATATAGTAAAACTGTATAACTATGCAGTGCCATACCCTGCATGAGAGCGACAGCACAGAACCACTTTCAGTTCTCCAAAAGAACCCTTTTATGCCCCTTTTGGACTTCATCACTATTAGCTGCATCTGTATCATACAGCCAATTACTATGGACTATATTTACTATATTTCAGTATATAGTAAATATATATTATATTTATTACATGTATATTATATTATTTCAACACAATTCACTGAACCTGAACAACAGAAAACCTTTATTAAGGTCATTTGTCTCTGCTTATAACATTTGCATATGTTTAAGAACCAAAAATGTAATAATCCCTCAGAATTAAACAAGCTGTTTTTGTTAAGACTGATATATGTAAATGAGCTCTGTTCTGATTGGCTGTGCCTCACTCAAAAAACAGTGCGGGCTGAAACACCCCTTACAATGTCAGTGTGAGTGGGCGGGGCTAAACTGCTGGATTCTGAGTGGGTTTGAAGAGGTTTATGCAAATGTGTGGTTTTCTTGTGACGTCACAGAAACAGTGAATTTAGAGCAGCTGGTGGTTCTTCAAAGGTTCTTTATGAAAGAAAATGGTTCTATATAAAACCATAAACATGATTAAAGGGTTCTTTGCACTGTGAAATGGTTCTTCAGATTGATGGAGAATGTGCTGTAGATGGTTGTACACAGAACCTTTTGAAAAGGGTTCTTCTATCGTTACAGTGTCGAAAGAACCCTTTTTTGTTGTATTTGTGCTATATGGAACCTTTTTCAAAAAGGTTCTATGTACCACCATCTACAGCACATTCTCCATCAATCTGAAGAACCTTTTCACCATGCGAAGAACCCTTTAATCATGCATTTTCTTTACTTAAGAACCATTGAAGAACCATTTCTTTTGAATGTGTGTTTCTAGGAAGAAAAACCTTTGACTAGTTTAGAACTCATATTATGTGGGAGTTCTTTAAATTCACAGCTCCTTTACAAAGATATATTGAAACCAAAAGGTTCTTTAGGGAACTAAAAGTGGTTCTTCTGTTTCATCGCTCTGAAGAACGCTTTTTGGTTCCATTATTTGTAAGAGTGGAACAGCAAGTAGGCAGTTTTGAGATTATTTTGTGCAGTTTGGAGTAAAGAGGTTTTTATGTTTTTCTCTTTCACAGTTGATGAGATTGAAAACGCTGAATTGTTCCATTTAAAAGGTTCTTTAGGGATCCAAAAGTGGTTCTCTTACAGTATCTCTCACAGCGCCTCCTACTAGCTGTTGTGTTTCTCCGAAATTCCAGGAGCCTTAAACGCTTCATCTCTCTGAAGTGGCTGAATATCAAATGACTTGATGCTCTTTATTGATGTACAGTCATTTGCAAAAGTTTGTGCACCCCTGGTTAAATGTACATTTAGTTGATTGTCTGATCTTGATAATAAGAAAACACACCCTCTACAGAGAACTTCTGCACATTTTAATGCACAATTACTGCACAATTTACTGAATTTATCACACTGGGGAACAAAATAAAACATAAAATGTGGCGTGTGCAAAAGTTATGGCACACTTTATATTTTATATTTTATTATTTTTTCCAATTATGTTAAACTTGGCCAATAAATACAAATCGTGCACAAAATTTTGCAGGAAAAATGTCATATTTTAAGCATGTTCTCTGCAGAGCAGTGGTCACCAGCCCTCCTCCTGGAGATCTACTCTGCTGCAGAGTGTAGTTCTAACCTTCATCTTATAAACTGCCTCCACTTACCTCACACTAATGCGTCTGATTCAGTCAAAGCCAATCAGCTGGTCTGAGTGCGGCAGGTTGTGGATGAAACTAGACTCAGCAGGATGGTCCATCTCCAGGACCAGGGTTGGTGACCACTGCTGTAGATGATGTGTTGACTTATTTTCAGACTGTATCAGTGCCATGAGCTCATTTAAGGAACATTCAGCCTGTCGTTTTGGACCGTCGTGTTTGCTTCTCTTTATATGAAGACTGAGCTGTATGAGTTGAGTATGACTGTTTTTCATTATTATTATTATTAGCTTTTAATAAATATGATTTTGATACATCGGTTTGTCTCTTACTGATTGTTATTTTGCTTATTACTGTTCAACACTGTATTTGTATCATTGACACGGGTTGGGTTGCAGTTTTCAAGCTAGAACCGCAAAACTGTGCAGGACCATAGAGCTTGTACAGGAATAGTGCTCTTGTGCTTTTGGGACCGATCGCTACGGACCGATACAGTATTGGTTCAAACACGCCATCTCTCACACTGCCAATCATAGACGTTACAAACATACTCACATACATACTAGCAACCACCTGGAATACCATAGCAGTGGCCTAGCAACACCTCAGCAACCACCTGGGATACTACAGCAATGCCCCAGCAACACCTTAGCACCTACCTGGATTATCATAGCGATGGCCAAGCAATACCTTAGCAACCACCTGGGATACCATAGCAATGCCCTTACAACACCTTAGCAACCACCTGGGATACCATAGCAGTGCCCTAGCAGCACCTTAGCAACCACCTGGGATACCATAGCAACCCCTTAGCAACTACCTGGATTATCATAGCGATGGCCAATAAACACCTTAGCAACTACCTGGGATACCATAGCAATGCCCTTACAACACCATAGCAGCCTCCTGGGATACCATAGCAATGCCCTAGCAACACCTTAGCAACCACCTGGGAAACCATAGCAATGTCCTATCAGCATCTTAGCAACCACCTAGGAATTCATATCAACGGCTTTGTCAGGCCAACAAATTGAATTTGACCGAGTGCCACAGGACCGTCGTGTTTCTTTCAGTAGAATGTTTCATGGCACCGTAAACACCGTAAATATTTCCACTTGTGATTATGTTTTGTTTATCTTTTTAAGAAGCATAAGTGAGTGAGTGGGCAGGGAGGGGGGGAGTGACTATTTGTTTACAATGGGTTGGTGGTGATATGAGAATAGCAGGCTTACGTCTACAGCAGGAACAAGGAAATGCATTGAATTACAGAAACAGATAGAATTCATTAAATCATAAACAATAAAAACCTCTGATAATGAAGTGTTAATATTTAACCAGACAGGCTTTAAATAGTTCAGAACTGAAGAAGCACAAGGTAGGTGTTTCTAATAAAGTGGCCAGTGAGTGAACATGCAAGGTGTTTCTAACAAAATGGCCAGTTAATGGAAGCACAAAGTAGGTGTTTCTAATAAAGTGGCCAGTGAGTGGAAGTAGAAGTGATATAAAAAGCCCCCCCATAAACAGCAGAGGGCGCAGGTGAGTCGGGTTTGTGGGAGTGGGCGTGGTTACCAGGTGAGCAGCCTCGGCTGGCAGGTGCTCGGTGACGTCACTGGCCTGGTAACGGCTACGGAGAAGTAAGGGAGAGATTTGAGGAGGGACTGAGTCAGAGAGGAGGTGAAGCGGCTCGGCTCGTTTAGGCTGTTCTGCGGTTTTAGGTCGGGGTTTGATGTTTTAGAGACAGTTTGTTCCAGTTGGTTTTCTGCTCCAGCGCGAAATGGGGAAGAAGAAAGAAGAGCCGAGCTCGGAGTACGGTGAGTGGAGCGGTTAAAGGCTGAGTGCTGGTGAGAGTCAGGTCAGCCCTCAGCTCAGCTGACCAGGCCCGCGTTGCTAAGCTCTCACTGTTAGCGCTCCTGCTGTGGATGCAGAGCAAACAAAAACGGGTTTTCAACTTTTAACCACAAAACTGACTCGTTCAGTGACTCAGTAACGTTACTGTGATGATAAACACGCAGATTTACCTCACATTCATCATCAGATGTGGATGGAGTAGCTTAAATCTGCTGAATTCACTCTCCAGAAGTGCTGTTACTTCAGTTACGTCACTGGCAGCAGTAGAATTAGCCAAACACAGGAAAAGGTCTGAGGTAGAAATACTTAGAGATGAATTTTCCTTCATAATTCAGTCACTAAGATGTAATCAGAGAGATTCAGAGTGGTTTGGTGTGAAATGGTTCAGATGTCTTTACAGTGGTGGTGATAGGAACCAGGGGTTGCCATGACTACAACACAAATATAGACATTTTATTTACTATCCAGAACCACCAGTGAACCTACACGAGTCTTCTGAGTTTATATGGAATGATGATGATGGAAAATAATAGAAAATAAATAAATACGTTTAATTACTTTTCCAATTACTACCCACGTTTGTTTGTCATGAGAATCGAAGAGAAAAACAATACACTCTTAAAACTGATGGTTCTTTAAGGGTTCTTCAGTGAAGAAAATGGTTCTATATAGAACCATGAACGCTCAAAGAGCCCGTTGCATAGTTCAAGTATTTTTTTGTATTGTTAAATGGTTCTTCAGATTGATGGAGAATGTGCTGTAGATGGTTCTACATAGAACCTTTTTGAAAAGGGTTCTGTATAGCACCAAAAAGGTTTCTATTTTTCTATTGTGACAAGCTAGATATCGTAGCAACAGAAGATCCCTTTCTGCTGCTATATAGAACCCTCAAAAAGTTCTATGTGCAACTAACTATGGCACACTCTCAGTCTGAAGAACCCTTTCATGATGCAAAGAACCCTTTAATCATGCAACAGGTTCCTTGATTCTCAGTGGTTCTACCCTCTTTAAAAAGATGGTTCTTTAGTAAAGAAAATGGTTCCATATAGAACCATGAACACTAAAAGAAGGCTTTGCATGGTCAAGGGTTTTTTCTATTGTTACAAGCCAAAGAACTTTTTTTTTTTTTTGCTACCGTAAGGAACCCTTTTTGCTTAGAGTGTATATAGAACCGTTTTCTTTACTAAAGAACCCTTGAAGAACCACCATTTTTGAGAGTGTACTTTTTCGTGACGTCTTTATTTGATTTTTCCAAGAAGGCAAACACTAAATCCACCCGTGTGCTGGAGTTCCTACAAGACAGTCCAGCGTTTTAAAGGTAGATGTTTCAGTCGAGCTGGTGCTGCATTACTATGTTATCGTGAACGTGGGAATCTGGGAACGTCACTGCTCTACATGTAGACCTCATTAGCCTGGTTCTGATAAGGCAGAGCCTCGTTATCACGCTGGTGATTGTGAAGGTTTACTAGTAACTGTATTGTTTTCCTTTGAGTCACTGCACTGTGGAAGCAGAAGAAACACGGCTGCTTCCTGAAACTGACGAGGTCCAGCAGGGCCGTGATGTTCTGATCTACTTTGCATGTGATTCAGAAAAGCACCAGTTCCTCTCGTTCTCCCGGTGAGCAGGCCGTGAGAGATTCACAGCCAGACTGCAGTGATATTTCCTGTAATCCGTCCCGTAAATGTCTACGACATTCTGTGGAAAAATACAGTGATAAGGTGTCATCAGAGCACAGCTGCACCCTTTATAGTGCCGTAAAGGCGAGGCGTAAGATTCCAGCGCTCTGTTTCTTCCTGCATGTTCAGTATCTCTGTTTCAGGATTTCATATACGGTCATATGCAGAAGTCTGAACAGCCCAATCATGTTTTGACATGTTTTCTTGATTTTCTAAATTAAAATAAGTTAAAAAAAGTTTACTTTTTAATATTTTTTCCAATATGTTAAACCCATCAAATAAACAGTAACTGTTCTGTAAGCTCTGGGCACATAGAAGCTCTAGACTGTATGTTTGGGATGTGTAAGGGCTCTACACATTTAAAGTAGGTTCTTCAAGGGTTCTTTAGTAAAGAAAATGGCTCTATGTAGAACCATGAACACTCAAAGAATCCTTTGCACGATTAAAGCGTTCTTCAGATTAATGGAGAATATGTTGTAGATGGTTCTATATAGAACATTTTTGAAAAAGGTTCCATGTAGCACCCAAAAAGTTTCTTCTTCTTTGACAAGCTTGACATTGTAACGATAGACGAACCCTTATTTGGTGCTATATAGAACTCATCATCTACAGCACATTCTCCATCAATCTGAAGAACCTGAGAGTTCATGGTTCTGTATAGAACCATTTTCTTTACTAAGGAATCCTTGAAGGATCTGTGTGTTTGAAGCATATAAAGGACATAGACTCTTAGAAATGTGTAGACGTGCTGAACTCTGTGTTTGGGACGGGTAAGGGCTCTAGACTGTGTGCGTTTGGGATGTTTAATGGTTCTGGACTCTCTTTAGGATGAGTAAGAGCTCTAGACTGTGTGTGTCTAGGATATATAATGGTTCTGGACTCCGTTTGGGAAGGGTAAGGGCTCTAGACTGTGTGTTTGGGATGTATAATGGTTATGGACTCCGTTTGGGACGGGTAAGGGCTCTAGACTCTGTGTATTTGGGATGTATAATGGTTCTGGTATCTCTTTGGGACGGGTAAGGGCTCTAGACTATGTGTATTTGGGATGTATAATGGTTCTGGGTTCACTTTGGGACGGGTAAGGGCTCTAGACTGTGTGTGTTTGGTATGTATAATGGTTCTGGGCTCTCTTTGGGACGGGTAAGGGTTCTAGACCCTGTGTATTTGGGATGTATAATGGTTCTGGGCTCTCTTTAGGAAGGGTAAGTGCTCTAGACTCTGTGTATTTGGGATGTATAATGGTTCTGGGCTCTCCTTGGGACGGGTAAGGGCTCTAGACTTTGTGTATTTGGGATGTATAATGGTTCTGGGCTCTCCTTGGGACGGGTAAGGGCTCTAGACTCTGTGTATTTGGGATGTATAATGGTTCTGGGCTCTCCTTGGGACGGGTAAGGGCTCTAGACTGTGTGTGTTTGGTATGTATAATGGTTCTGGGCTCTCTTTGGGATGGGTAAGGGCTCTAGACTCTGTGTATTTGGGATGTATAATGGTTCTGGGCTCTCCTTGGGACGGGTAAGGGCTCTAGACTCTGTATTTGGGATGTATAATGGTTCTGGGCTCTCTTTAGGAAGGGTGATGGCTCTAGACTGTGTGTGTTTAGGATGTATAATGGTTCTGGACTCCGTTTGGGACGGGTAAGGGCTCTAGACTGTGTGTATTTGGGATGTATAATGGTTCTGGACTCTCTTTAGGAAGGGTGATGGCTCTAGACTGTGTGTGTTTAGGATGTATAATGGTTCTGGACTCCGTTTGGGACGGGTAAGGGCTCTAGACTGTGTGTATTTGGGATGTATAATGGTTCTGGTATCTCTTTAGGACGGGTAAGGGCTCTAGACTGTGTATTTGGGATGTATAATGGTTCTGGGCTCACTTTGGGACGGGTAAGAGCTCTAGACTGTGTGTGTTTAGGATATATAATGGTTCTAGACTCCGTTTGGGAAGGGTAAGGGCTCTAGACTCTGTGTTTCTCACATTCTTGTTAAACCATATGACTTTTTCCCAGTTAACTGCAGTTCTGTAAATAATTCCCACATATTCTTTTCTCTCCTCTGTTTCTGGTGTGCAGGTGTAGCCTAAAGGTGTTGCTGCTGTGTGACTAGGAGGGACTTTTGTTTCCTGGTGTGTGTGTGTGTGTGTGCGTGTGTGTGTGTGTGTGTGGGTGTGGGTGTGTGTGTGCGCGTGCAAGCGCGTGTGTGTGTGTGTGTGTGTGTTTTATGGCTTATGAAAAGCAGTAATGAGTCCACAGTGTGTGGAGTGCAGACTCCTTAGCTAATGTTTATCAGTAGCTGAAACCGGGACCTGGTGAGGAAGGCTTACTGTAACACAGCCTGTTTAAGGGTGTGGTTTCATTGGTGCTGACCATAGTCACCATGGTTGCCTTTCATAACTGACAGTCCTTGACCTTTATATGTTGGTGGCTCCAACAATAGCAGCCTATACGCTGACTGTCAGAAGTTTGGGGGCGTATCTTTTTACAATGCTTTTAACACAGATGAGCTTGTTTGTTGTTGGTTTCCAATAAGTTACTCTATTAAAAGCCTGTTCAGGTTAATTTAGTCAGGCAGTGTTGGTGACAGTGCTGTCCTGGGAATAAAGCCAAAGACCACTCATTTAAAGTGTTCTAGTGGAACATTGGCTAACTGAATAACAGAAGACTATTGGGCTGCTGACTGATTGACTGAAACTAATATTCAGGGTACTAGACTCTCTGGGATGTATGCATGCTCCAGACGAAGTGTTTGGAATGTGTAAAGGTTCTAGACTCTCTGGGATGTATGCATGCTCCAGACGAAGTGTTTGGAATGCGTAAAGGTACTAGACTGTGTTTTTGGAATATGTGGAGAATTTAAATTCTCTGGCATATATATATATATATATATATGCTCTAGACTGTTTCAGATGTGTAAAGGTTCTAGGCTGTATTTTTGGGGTGTGTAGAGGATGTGAACTCTCTGGGATATACAGATGCTCTGGACTATGTTTCAGATGTGTAAAGGTTCTAGACTGTGGCCTTGGGATGTGTAGAGGATGTAAACCCTCTGGGATGTACAGATGCTCTAGACTATGTTTCAGATGTGTAAAGGTTCTAGACTGTGTTTGGGATGTGTAGAGGATGTAAACTCTTTGATGTGTACAGATGCTCTAGACTATGTTTCAGATGTGTAAAGGTTCTAGACTGTGGCCTTGGGATGTGTAGAGGATGTAAACTCTTTGATGTGTACAGATGCTCTAGACTATGTTTCAGATGTGTAAAGGTTCTAGACTGTGGCCTTGGGATGTGTAGAGG